CTCTCTCTCTCTCTCCTCCCTCCCTCCCTCTCTCTTTCTCTCTCCCTCCCTCTCTCTTTCTCTCTCCCTCCCCTCTCTCTTTCTCTCCCCCCTTCCCCCATGACCAGCAGGCACAAACTAGCTAGCAAGGGACTGGCCGTCAGCTCTTCAAAGACATTTCAGCAAACAAGAAGGAAACAGGTTTGGGGAAGAAAGAGGAATAAAGGGAGAGACAGAGAGAGTAACAACAAGAGAGAATATAACAACGTGAGGAACAGACCTAAACTCTCCACAATTGCTTCACTCCAAAGAAAGGGAAAGATAGAAAGAGAAAGAAAAAAATAGTTTTATAAGAAGTCAATAAAACCATCACAATTTTAAATTACAGAGAGAATGTAAGAGATCAGACACGGGGAAGCAAGCAGGGTCCTCATATCACTGCTAATTAGCAGTCAGATTAGAGAGGCTGTCAAGATCTGTAGGAAGACTTTGCCCACCATGACTCAGGGTGTTTTTGGGTTCCTTGTTTTTAGGGTTTCAGGCCACAGTCACTGTATCACACTGCTTTGGACTGAGGGTAGCACAGTCCATTAAGGGGTCATCATAGACTCACCGTTTGGTTCCACATGGCTGCCATTTGGGGGTCAGAAAACAGAGGGAAGGGGCTAGTAGATGGCTGGGTCATTAAGACAGCTTTTGTGCACGCATGAGGACCGGGAATTCAGATCCTAGTAGCTGACCATCCCACAAACTCCTGTAGTTCCAGCCTCAAGATGCCTGACGCCCTCTTCTGGCTTCTTCACATGTACATGTAGATGTACCTGCATGCACACATGTGCATTTACTTACACACATGTACACCAAATACATTTTTTAAATGTTAAAAGTGGAGGAAAGGTATTCCTCTCAAGCCCATGTCATCAATGACTGAACTCCCTTCCATTAGGGTCAACCTAGGTTCTTCCATCTCCCAGCGGTGCCAGAGAATTCTGACCAGGCCTCCAAATACATGGGCCTTTGGGGCCCTTCAAGATTCACAGAGTGACAGCCCCCTTTGAAAACTGTCAGGGCTTCCTGGGCAGCCCTGAATGTGGGCCTTACCTTTCTAAGGGCTGCTGATGTTTACTGCGGACCTACTTTGCCTGGCGTGGTTCTGAGCATCTTAAAGCCATCTCCCATTGACTCCTTTAGCAATCCCAGGGGGATACAGGATACTTTCTGCAGGTAAGGGGACCAGCGCTCTCACAAAGTGGGATTGGCCATGGCTCAGACTCCCGAGCCTGTGACCGCTGTCTGGAGCTGCTGTTTCTCCAGGAAGTTTTCTCTGTCAGCTTTCTTCCTAGGTTCTGGGGCCAAGCCAGCCAGCCTCCTGCTGGAAGTTCTTTAGTCCCGTGATGACAGCTTTTCCCAGGTGATTTCTACTGTTCTCCAGGATAACTGTCTCCTAGCCTTTTAGGATCTCTTGGACACTAGAAATATCCAGTCCCTTTGTCATTATGGGTGCCCGCGAACACACCACAGTTAACGGTGCTGTAGCTTGAGAAGCAGAAGTCACTGCCATGATTCAAAGTTGACTGCAAGCACCTCTTCTCTTCTCTTCCCTCTTCTCTTCTGCTCTCCTCTCCTCTCTCTTCCCCCTCCCCTCCCCTCCTCTCCTTTCCTGCCCCCCCTCCCCCTCTCCCTTCTCTCCCCCTCTCCCTTCCCTCCCCCCTCCCCTCCCCTTCCCTTCCCTCTCTCCTCCCCTCCTCTCCTTTCCTTCCCTCCCCTCTCCCTTCCCTCCCCTTCCTCTCCCCCTCCCCCTCTCTCCCCTCCCCCCTTTCCTCCCCTCTCCCTTCCCCTCTCCCCTCCCCTCCCCTTCCCCCTCTCCTACCCTCTCTTCCTCTCCTGTCTTCTCCTTTCTCTTTCTTTCTGTGCTGGTGTCCAAACCAAAGACCTCCGACACATCAGGCAGATGCTCTACCACTGAGCCATATCCTCAGCCTAAACATGTTCCTCTTTCATCTACTGCTCCATGCCTGGGCAGTTTTCATTACCATAAACATGCAAACTCGCACTTGGCCTTGATTCCTTGTTTCCTGTTAGAATCGGTGCCATGTTCTGATTTATGTTAGTACATGCCACAGTCAGGGTTTCTATTGCTGTGATAAGCACCATGACCAAAGGCAACTTGGGGAGGGAAGGGTTTATTCCATCTGGCTTACAACTCTCAGATCACACTCCATCATGGAAGGAAGTCAGGGCAGAAACTCAAGGCAGGAACCTGGAGGCAGGAGCCGCTGCAGAGGGAGGGGGAAGGGTAGGTTACTGCTTTGCTCTCTCCCCACCCTTCGGCTTGCTTCGTCTTATTTCTTATAGCACCTGGGACCACCAACGCTGGGGTGGCACTGCCCACAATAGGTTGGGCCCTCCTGTATCAATCACTAATTAAGAAAATGTGCTATAGATTTGCCTACAGGAAGCATTTCCTCAATCAAAAGTCCCTCTTCCCAAATGATTCTAGCTTGTGTTAGGTTGACATAAAATATCAAAATAAGCAAAAACCCCCCAACTCTGTTATTCAATACATTTTCTGCGCCAGCTCAGCACCTACACAGCACTGTCTAGTGGGTAGAGCATTGTTTCAGGTTATGGTGCCCTAGGCTCAAATTCCAGTCTTACCACTTACTTATGAGCTGTACAGCCTCGGGCAAGCCAACACTTACCCCACAGGGCCTTCCTATAACACACAGAGCATTGTTTAGAAATAAGACTGAGATGAAGGAAAGGAGGCCCACACTGAGGGCAGCCCCACGTCTGAGGGCACCAATGTGGCCTGTGTGACTCGAGAAGCTGAGTCTAAGGAGCATGAGGGTGGCAATGTTCAGAGAGTGAAGGGTAACCCCAAAATGGCTCAGCCTGGACTCCAGAAGAGAAAGTCAGAGGCTGTGTCCAGGGATAGGACACTGTACCCAAGACTACTGAACTTTATGGAAGAGGTTTCCTGTGGCCTGAATAAAAGGACCTTTACCTCCATGTGGAGAGCTTCCCTGCTGCCCGATTACACATGTATCAGGCACAGGCCAGTGTCCAGAGATAAAGCTGGCCTATTGGGAAAACTGGTTGAGATCACAGGAAGTGGACACCCTCCAACACCAAGTGAAGCTGGTGCATGCACCCGGGGCTTGCACACTCCACCTCTGAGTGGAACTCCTATGGGACGGGGACCCTTGAACTCACCTGTGCAGGGCCTGCAAGGCCCAGCCTTCCCATGTTCACGCCCTGACCTCATCTTCCCCTCCTCTGATGTACAGTTGATAGACATTTTCCCATCTGTAATAGAGGAATGCAATTCCCTCTGGGAGCTTTATCACACACTGAGCTGTACGCAGCACTTCGATGGAGCCTTGAGCTTGCTGAGAGCCCCAGACACTGTCCTGTGCATCTGCTTCCTGCCACACATGCGTTCAAGCCACACAAAGTGAAGACGAGCCTCAGTCTCTGGGGCTGGGGTGACAGGCAGGAGCCCCATGTCCAGCTCCTTCCCTCCTTTGCAGCTCGTTTTTCTTGGGAATCACAGCAATGGAAAGCTGGCCAGCACACCCTCCAAAGGAGAGACGTCTAGTTTTACTTCAAGGCAAATTCAGAGGCAATGTGTAAGTGATGACACTACCTAGAGCAATGCACTTTATTAATTAGGTTGTTATATTAAATATGATAAATATAGAAAGTTAATAATATTACACAAATTGCATATTACTTGGCTAGTTAGCTTAAGTTCTTGACTGCTAAATAGATTTTTGTCTCAAAAAACATTTTACAATTTGTGTGTATATATATGTGTGTGTGTATGTGTATTTGAGTGTGAGAGCATATGTGGGGGGATACGTGTGTGTATATGTGTGTGTTGCGGGGGTGTATGGGGAGGGGCACGTTTGTGTGGAGGCCAGACAGCTACCTCATGTATCGTTTCTCAGGTGAATTTTGGCAAGTGAGGTAGACTGCTAGCCAGTGGGCCTTAGGAACCTGCCTCTCTGCCTCCCTAGGGCCGGATTTCAAGTGCACACCACTAGCCCTGGTCTTTCCACACAGCTTCTGGGATCACATTCAGGTCCTCATGCTTGTGTACAGGCACTTTACTGAGCTATCTCTCCAGCCCCAAGATTTGTTTATTATTATTTGATATGTATAAATGTTTTGCTTGAATGTATGTCTGTGTAGTGTGTGTGTGCCTGCTGCCCCGGAAGTCAGAAAAGGGCATTGGATCCCCTGGAACTAGAATTAGAGGTGGTTGTGAGCCAATATGTGGGTGTTGGGAATTGAACCCAGGTCCTCTGGAAGAGCAGCCAGTTCTCTTGAATGCTGAACTGTCACTCCATCCCCATAAAAGCTTATAAAGGGTAAGATGTAAAACATCTATTGTTTTACAAATATTTATTTTTCTGTTTTTGTTTTGCACTGGGAATTGAACCCAGGGCCTCATGCATGCTAGGCAAGACCTCTACCACCAAGCTAAATACATGTGTAATCAGGCAGCAGGGAAGCCATCCACATGGAGGTAAAGGTCCTTTTATTCAGGCCACAGGAAGCCTCTTCCATAAAGTTCAGTAGTCTTGGGTACAGTGTCCTGTCCCTGGGCAGGCTGAGCCATTTTGGGGTCACCCTTCCCTCTCTGAACATTGCCACCCTCATGCTCCTTAGACTCAGCTTCTTGAGTCACATGGGCCACATTGGTGCCCTCAGACGTGGGGCTGCCCTCAGTGTGGGCCTCCTTTCCTTCATCTCAGTCTTATTTCTAAACAATGCTCTGTGTGTTATAGGAAGGCCCTGTGGGCGTAAGTGTTTGTTTGCCCGAGGTTGAACAGCTAAATACCTAGCTCTAATTTTTATTTTTAACATACAGGGGGTAAGTACAGCAAATTGAGCATATATAGCAGGTGTGCCAATCAAATTAAGGCAGTTAGCATTTCTATCACCTCCAATATTTATCACTTCTGTGTGTTGAAAAAACTAATGATTTTGAAGTACAACATTGCCTTCCTTAGGGTTGCTGTTGCTGTGACAAAACACCATAACCAAAAGCAGCTTGGGGAAGAAATGACTTATTTGGCTTACATATTCTGAGTCACACTCCATTGAAGAAAGTCAACACAGAAACTCAAACCGGATGGAAGCCTGGAAGCAGGAGCTGATGCAGAGGCCATGCATGGAGAGGTACTACTTACTGGCATGCTCCTCATGGCTTGCTTAGCCTGCTTTCTACCAGCCCATGGATGACACCACCCATAATGGGCTGGGCCCTCCCTCATCAATCAATTAAGAAAATGTCCCATGTGCTTACGTAAAGCCAGGTCTTATGGATACATTTTCTTAATTGAAGTTCCCTCCTCTCAAATGACGTTAGCTTGTGTCAAGTTAACATAATACTAGCCAGCACAGTGTATAGTAGCCAGTATCCTGTACACTGTGATCACTCTAATGTGCTATAGAACGCTCAGTTCACTCCACCTGTCTTCCTGTGTTTTGGTTTTGCTATCTTGTTTCTCTCGCGAGCACCTCTTAAACACTACTAATGAGATAAAGGTTAGATGAGAAGACACCGTCTACATATCTGTACTTCTTGGTGGTGGAGTATGATTGACCCAAGGTAGACTGTCTCCCAGCTCTTCTACAAGCTTTCACGGGTATTCCACAGTTTTCAGTTTTGTGATCATTTGTATGCTAGGACACCCAGCTGCTTGTTTTTTCTGTTTTGTTTCTGATTGAAAAGTTTGTTCATCGACCGTGGTAACTAAGCCATTTGCTGTTTTAGAAAATGATGCTGTAAAAGGAAGCTCCCCAACCACTGGTACTGATGAGTCTGCATTACCAAACCCACTTGAATTCTAAAGAATGGGGAGTCAGCAGAATATTAATTATTATTGTGCTGTTCCTGCTCTTGAGGAAGTGGTGCCTAGTCTTTGTTGTTTTGTTTTGCTTTGCTTTCAGGTTCCTAAGACCACAGCGCTTCAAGCCATCTAGAACTACCCTGGCCGGTAATAACATCTGGAGTTGGGACCAGAGGTGCTAAAAGTTGACCTTTCCTCATTTTATTGCTCAAGTCTTCTCAGGAAGCAACTGGTGCCTGTCGTCCATAGCATGAGATGTGTGTGAAAACACATTGTCAAATACACTTACGCCTTTACCCCCTGGCTAATCCATTCTATGTTCAGATGAATTTACCTGCCTTAGGAAACTCTTCGAGCTCTGGAAGAGACTCCACATGTCTCCTTATTCCTTGTAATCCTTCACTTCATGTAACTGTTCTTGTTATATGTTCCAATATGATCCCCACCAAGAGGCAGATCCCCTGATCCTGGTAACAGGAAGTGAGGATTTGGGTCTTTTATTTAAATTTGGTGTTTACTGCTTATACATTTTTCACAAATGAGGAGCATCTGTATGTCTTTGCTGTCCTGAGGATTGAACTTAGAGCCTCACACATGCTAGGCCAGAACCCTGACACTGAGCAACACCCCCAGCCCTCCACCTCTATGTGCCTTTAACATTCTTGACTTGCTGTCTTGTTGAGGACACAAAATTTTCCTTAGAAATAGTGTCATTAACACAGACTACCCTAATGTCAAAGGTCTAGTTGTCACAACAAAATCCCTCCCAAAAACCTGCTATTCCATAGACACCTCATTGGTTTCTTTAATGATAAAATCAAAAGACATCAACAGCTCCAAGACAGGATGTGAATTGAGGGTATTACCAGAACTATTGACAGTGCTTTGTGATTATTCTAATGGATTTCTCATTTAGTGAATTAACTATTGTTTAGAAATCCTTGCCGGGCGGTGGTGGCGCACACCTTTAATCCCAGCACTCGGGAGGCAGAGCCAGGCGGATCTCTGTGAGTTCGAGGCCAGCCTGGTCTACAGAGTGAGATCCAGGAAAGGCGCAAAGCTACACAGAGAAACCCTGTCTCGAAAAACCAAAAAAAAAAAAAAAAAAAAAAAAAAAAAGAAATCCTTCATATCCAGAGGGAAAAGGAAAGATAACAGAAATGCTGAAATCAGTGCATACCTGCTTGTGGAATGGGTCAGATCAAGGACCATTTTGATTAAAATCTAAAAGGATTTTCAGCTCACAATGTAGATATTACGTTCTAGAAATTTCTCACTGAGCCCACAGACACTGTTAAACGCCCTTCCTTCTGGAGTCCAGGCAGCTATCCATAGCCTCCAGCCCCATGGCCTGTGGAGACACTGCATGCTGGTTTCCATCACTTCAAGTCCAGATGGTTCTTCAGGGAAGAGCTAGGTGTTTCCTGTTAAATGCTGAAAACATTGAAAATTGATCAGAGGTGGCACCAATATGTTTGCTGAATAAATGAATTTTACAATGATATTCATTTTAAAAAAAAAGCCTAGAAGAGTCAGGAGGCAGCCAGGTGACTCATAAAGTGACATGGTGAATAACTCCTATGGGAAAAGAGTAGCCAAAAAGGAGGGTCTCAGGAGGTGTATTGAAGCCTGGAAGGGCCAGGATTCCAACACCCAGAAGCTTCAGGCTGCAATATCCCCTTCTTTAAATCAAGGGCTTTGATTAAGGCAGAATTGGGTTTGAAGGGCAGGGGAAGCTTTTTCCCAAAGAGAAACCAAAGGGTATTTGGTCTATGGCACTGCTGGTCAGATGAGGATGCCCCAGGTGCACCCTGAGTCAAATTCACTGTACAGCTGTGTTGCAAATCCTCTTCAGCTTCAGGTCAAAGTCGGGAAATGACTTCGTCTCTGGCCGCCCTCCTGGGAGTAGGAAGGACCTGAGCAGAGGGCCAAAGCCCAGTCTAGAGATATTTGGGACCAGGTTCAAGTCACTCGACACATCCTGAAACCAACCTAGGAGAAGCCAGGCATAGGGGAGCTCCAGCTCTCTTAAATTGCTTTGATTCAAACGCCACCGAGCAGAGTCCCTGAGTCACAGGGCGGATGGAAGAACAGAGGGCATGTTAGTCTAGTCTTTGTTGCTATAACAGAATGCCACAGGCTAGATAACTTATAAAGAATAGGGGTCCCGGCCGGGCGGTGGTGGCGCACGCCTTTAATCCCAGCACTCGGGAGGCAGAGCCAGGCGGATCTCTGTGAGTTCGAGGCCAGCCTGGGCTACCAAGTGAGTTCCAGGAAAGGCGCAAAGCTACACAGAGAAACCCTGTCTCGAAAAAACCAAAAAAAAAAAAAAAAAAAAGAATAGGGGTCCAAAACAATGATTCTGGAAACCGTAGAGCCCAAAAGCATGGTGTGGGCATCTGGTGATGGCCTCTCATCTGCCTCACAAGGTGGCAGATGCCTGCCACGGTCAGACAGTGTAAATGTGCTAGTTCGGTCTCTTCCTCTTCTTATAAAGCAATTAGTGCCATTGTGGAGGCCCCACGATGACCTCATCTAATCCCAATCTCCTCCCATAAGTCTCCACCTCCAAATAACATCAGTGTAGAAGCTGGAGAGTTTAGTTTCCAATGTGAGCATTTGAGAGATGCATCCCACGAACAGTAGCATCACTGAAGGGTTCATTACCATGGAGGTTCTCACCCCTAAGACTTAAGCTGTTGCTGAATTAAACCTCTGAGTTTACAGTCAGACCCACAACTTCATAGTGGGTATTGAAAGCAAGCACCCGTACACAGCAGTTCTCCGGGGCTCCAGAGCGGCGTGGTGCTGTTACCCGGGGAACTAGTGGCAGCCTGGGGGACTCTACTGGTAGAGTGCTAACTGTGTTGTGAGAACCAGCAGAACTACTGGGGATGGAGCCAGCACCTGTCCCCACATGCGCTGGGGTTGGCGACTCTTCTACCAGCTTCACCCCACAGTCACAAGGCCTCTCACATTTGGAGAAAATCGCTTTTCTTTGGGACTAAAGGTGTGCACCACCTTGCCCAGCTTCTGAGGCACTTCCTCAGGGCCTGGCAGTCCTTTCTATTACAACATTGGAAGTGCACTCGCTTTGCTTGGGGATACAATGAAGACTTTCTGTTTTCTTTGCTTTGATCGTCCATTTTTCTAAGGAAGTGAGTACCAAGCAAAATACGAATGGATGTAGGACGATTCTGCTGAACTCAGCAATGTCTTTAAAATAAATAGAACACTAGAAACAGAAAATCCCCAGGATCACACACCGTGCCTGCTCTGCACAGGGGGTTGATCCCAGATGCTGCCAAGTCCTGGAGTGCATCCCTCCTGTGAAAACATGTGGGCCACGCACAGCCAGCCCCACCCCCGGCCAGCCCTCTTTCTTCTGACCTCTGATATAAGAAGTGTTTTAAAAAGCAGCTTCACAGAAACAGATTTTCGTCCCACATAATTTGCCTGTGTAAAGTGATTTGGGGAATGTTCCTTTGTTAACATTGTCAAACTATGGCAAGTGTACATAAGCATACATTTTGTTGTTGTAAACACTGTAGGGTGTTCAGTTCCGTGAGTGGCGCTGGGCCTGTCCACGGTCTTGCACCATTGTTGTCTGTTTCCACACTGCTCCATCACCCACACCGGAACTCAGCACCCACAAAACACTAGTTGCCACACGCCCCCCCCACCCCCAGTCCTCGGGGAGAACTTACCACTCTTCTGCCTGTCGATAAGCTGGTGTATACTAGGTGTCTTGTACAAGAGAATCATTTGGTGTTTGTCCTCTGGGGTGTGGACTGCTTCACTAGCATGTTTTTCTAAGGTCCATTCATGCCGAAGCTTGTGCCTGAATATCTTTCCTTATTACACCTGGGTAATATTGCATTGTAGAGAAACTGTCTGCTTACATGACATTTTAGACACCAACTATGAGTGGACAGACCACATAGAGCAATTCTTCAGCAACTGGAGGTCCTACAATTTAATTCAGTTACGACACTAACCACCCCAAGTTAGTGCAAACCTCATGCATTGAAGACTCAAAGATTGTCTCTACACAGGATCCCAAGCCAAACTTGGGCTCAGACATATCTAAGGTTCCTATGATAGCCCCTCCTCAGTAATTTGCTAGAACAGCAAAGAAAACACTTTACTTGTGTCTGTCGGTTTATTATGAAGGATAGTATGTGAAGGATACAACTCAGAAATGGTGGAATGGAAGAGACTTAATGAGAAATCCATGTGGGAAGGGGAGGGTTATGACAGCCCCGTGCCCTCTGGAAGTATGCCCCTCTCCTCGTATGTCTGTGTGCCTGCTGACCTGGAAGCTCTCTGACCCCATCCTCTTGAGTTTTAAGAGGGCTTTCCCTATGAAGGGGTGTTCGCTTCCATCATTGGCTTGTGGTGATCAGCTTAACCCCCTCTTTCCTACCCACAGGAGGTGTGTGGGGCTCCAAACTGCAATGGCTTGGTTGGTTCCTTTGCCAACCAGCCCCCATCTTGACACTATCCAGGAGCCCCAGGCACCTCATTAGCTTGCAAAGTGATCCTTATTGCTTTTAAGTCTTCTTGGAGTTTAGAGGGTTGTGTACCAGGAAATAGACACAAACCAGAGACTAAATCTTTCCTGTTTCAGAGCGCACGCTCTCTCTCTCGCTCTCTCTCTCTCTCTCTCTCTCTCTCTCTCTCTCTCTCTCTCTCTCTCACACACACACACACACACACACACACACACACACACACACACACACACTTCATCTTTTGGTGATAGCATACAACATATAACCATAATACTCAACTGCATACAACCATACTATTCAACTATACGTATCTGTTCTCAACTCTTCTGGGTCTGTTTCTAGGTGTGGAAGTGCTCAGTTACAAGGCAATTCTACATTTAACTTTTGAGGAATCTCCAAACTGTTGGCCCCAGTGGATGCACACTTTATATCCCTCTCTGCAATGTATGAGAGCTCCAGTTCTCCTAATTCTTCTTTTCTTGTCTTTAGTTTTTCATCTTCTTTCTTTCCTTGTTTTTTAATGAACTGTAGCCAGTCTAGTGAGATAATACCTCGGTGTTGTTGTGATTTGCATTTCCCATGACTGGGCTATTTTGCATGTCTTCTTTGGAGCAATGTCTAGTCAGCCCATTGCCCACTCTTTGGTTGGGTTGTTGTTTTTTCTGCTGTTGAGTTGTAGTGACTCTGTATGTCTCCTGTGATTTCCAGGATTTTCTACCACTCTTCAAATTGACTGTTATAGTCTAGGTATGAAATGAGGTCATGTGTTGAACGCTCGGTCCCCAGGTAGCACTAATTTGAGAGATTATAGGGACATGGGTGGTGGGAGGGGGGTGCTACAGAAAATAGATTTCAGGGGCCACACCTTTGAAGGTGACACCAGTCCGAGAATCCCCTTCCCTTCCAGTTTCTTGGCCACCATGAAGTGAATAGCTTCCTCCATGCATTCCCACCTAAGTGATGTTCTGCCCAACCCTGAACTGAACCCTCTGAAACCATTAGCAAAACCAATGTTTTCTCCTCAACTTTCTGCTGGGTGTTTTGATGCACAGTGTCTTGGATCGTTTTAGCTTTTACAGTCCGTCTATGAGCGGTGGCTTATCTTCTTTGTCAACTTGACTAGATTTAGAGTCACCGGGAGACCAAACTCTGGTTGGGCCTGGGAGAGTGTTTCCAGAGAGTTTTACCTGAGAAAGCGGGACCTATCCTGAATGTGAGTGACTCTATCCTGTGGGCTGGATTCGGAGACTGAATTTAAAAAAGGAGAAAGGCAGATGAGCATCAGCAGTCATATCTCTCTGCTTCCAGGCCGTGAAAGTGACACTCACACACACCTGCCTGGTGCTTCTGACCTATGCCCCCCCATCATGCTGAGCCTCATGCTCAAATTGAGAGCAGGAACAGACCCTTCCTTCCTTAAGTTACCTTTTCATCAGGCATTTTCTCACAGCAGCAAGAATAACTCATACAAATACAGCTGGTCTTCACAGAGTAACTGCCATAGGGGGAGGTTACTACTGAGTTTCATGACCTCCTCAATACATAAGAAGTTTTTGGAAAACACC